TTGCCCTCGAGAGGCAGGTGATTTTGACTTAATGCATAACTGAGCAACTTTCATACGAATAAACGGTGTCCCACCTCCAACGCTTTTTCAAGTGTCCATGGTAGACGACTCGCTGTGATTCCCTTCTGTAGGAAGTGCGCTAAACAGTGCAGATGCTCATATGGTAGTATTCTTGCTGCTGCTCTTATATCTATTTCTACATTAGTGACTCTGTCCGTATCTCCCACTCCTGTGCAACTTCAGGAACCTAGCTGGCGCATGCTTCAGGTACCTAAAGAATGAGTGCAGAACATTTGTCAAGGATGAGGTGTGTAATGTTTCTTACTGATGTCCAGTGTTCTCCAGTCATTTCAACACATGTAACTCGTGCCAACTGCTTTTTTTTCTTTGCCTTTTCACTGCCATGCAATTCACGGTAAACATTGGAAATGGAATAACGGGAGACAGAATTGGTCAGTCAGAGGGGCGACGATTGAGAGACTCAATGAAGGTCCTTTCATTGATTTTAATGTAACTGAGGAAATATGCTAGGCCTAGCACAATCGTAGACTGCCTCCCACAGCAGCACCCACCACTTTTCAGCAAGATCTGATAGAAGACCGGCCAAGGCAAATGCACCTGCTGCCAAAAGCTGGGAACGTGATCCGGAGGGATTTGATGCTTTGAGAGGAAAACAGAACGCACGGAGGAAGTTTGCCTGCTCTGCTTTCATAAATCTTTTCTGGCTGACTCATAATTTGCTTTAGGGCCATCCTGTCTCCGCGGCAACATCTATACATTCATTGTGTCTGTAGGATTGTGTGTGCAGTTGTGTATTTGCCTCTGTGTGAGGTTATTTGCTGGAAAAATACACTTCAGAAGAGCTGCTTTTCTTCTTTGTGTCCATCTTTCAGCACACTTAAATATGGTTCGCTCCACTGAACACAGCATAATTTATATGGGATTATTAAATGAATGCACTGTTCCTAAAACAATGTCTGGATATTTGACTGGGAGGCATGTTCGCCTCATATTGTAAACACATCAAAAGTTAAAAGAACATTTCAGTAACTTTGGATATTATTGTGTGCTCAACCAAATTAATTGAGATCTGGGGTATAACTAGTTTAATAGCCAAACTCTTGATCATTTTAGCAGTTACTTTTCTGACTGACATTGTGTTTATGAATGACTTAAACTAACCATAAAATTAAGATTTAATTTCTATAAAACTGAAATTTCCCAGCAAAGATTAATGCTGATGATATTAATTACTGTTCAGCATTTGTGGTGTTTAGGCTTTTAGCCTCTGAGACTTTCAATGTCCACATCAACAAGCCACTATTATAAGAATCTCATGTTTCCATAATAGTTTTGTCAAGGTCGCTGCAGTATAGTTTGAGTCTTTCGCACATCAATTGTCCTGCTGCTGTATATGAATGTATATAAATCTTCAGATGAATCAAAAAAATACAGTGTTGTTTTAACTCTTTGGGTACTTTTTGCTAAAAACTACAGCTTTTGAAGTGAGATAATAGTTGTTTTAAGTAAATATTTGTTTTAATTTCCATTGTCAACTTTAAAATATATGAATTTTCCACAATATCATCGCAACTAGGCTACGGTAAAGACTTTTTAAGGATTGTGGCTTGGCAAATAAACTATGGTTTTACTTAGGCAATTAGAACAAAAAAGATAGTGGTAACAGGAAAAAGAAGAAAGTAAGGACATTACAATTTAACGTCACCAGGGCACCTTGCAAATTTGAACAATTAACAATTTGTAGGTATTCAAATGTTTTAGGGGTCTTATAACTATTATTTATACATTAAAATGTCTAAATCATTGTTGAGTTGTGTACTCATATCATCGCAAATGTTCCCTCCCAGCCCCCCATTTCTATGTAGGCTAAATGGTTAAAAATATCCATTCATTGGTGCAGTATTAAGGCCATGATCGATTTTGTCAACATGATTTTGTGAACCCTATTCCCAAACAAACTTGCATCAAAGAGATAATGTTGTTGAAACTCTGAGAAATCAAAAATTTGAGTCAAGGTAATGTTTTGTTTCATTTGGTCGCCTATAATGGTGTCATATCCCCTTTGTGCATGCGTCAGTGTTGTGTTTGTCTGCCAGAAGCTAATCATAAGGCGCTTTCACACCACAGTACTTTTCCCACAAAGGTTCATCAGAACTTAGTTCATGAGAACTCTTTACAGTAGTTCTCATGAACTAATCTGGGCAATCCGCCCAGCCAATCAGAAATAGGAACCTTTTTCTCCCACGAAAGTCCCTGCTCTCTAGCAGGGACGGGAAAGGGAGTAAAAAGGTTCTCATGAACTAATTTTAGTCCCGGACTTTTTTTGTGTGAACGCAACATTTCGGAACTATATCGGAACTAAATTGGGAAAAGTAAAAGTGTGAATGTGAAAAGCGCCTATTGATTTACTTCATCCAGTTCAAGCCACATTTCTACAATTCACTTTTGTGGTTTGAATTGGTAATTTTACTACACAATGTTACTAAATCTTGTTATTGTTTTGCTTGAGAAACCCTGAGTTGCAGAGTGTTACAAACTGTGCGTTTTAAGCATTAGGAGTCAGTGTTGATTTACTGTGCCCTAATTGACACTTTTAGCAAACAGAATGATGATTGCACCAATTATAACTGAATAAAATGATGTAAATGAAAATGTTGCAGTGCCCATAGGTTGTGGGGGGGGGGGGGACATTTGGGAAATGCTAGTAATTAGTTTCACACACATGCTAACATAATGAGGTTTAGGAGACAAAAAAAATACAAGATGGATGATGAGGGGCTGAGAGACAGGCTGCAGGTCAGGAGAGAGGGGGGTGGATTGTGCTGTCTCACTCCTTTTCCCCTTGAGAGAAGTGAGAAAAATGCCTCAGAAAGAGCAAACATCATGCCTGGAGAAAAGAAGAACCTTTCTTTATGCAGGCTAAATCACTCCCTCTCTCCTCCCACTAAGGAGCTGTCCAGGTCACGGTGAGTCATCGAAAATATCAAACTGACACAAGGAGAGATGAACATACAAACAGACAAAATGCAAAGCTATACACCATGCCTAATGAAGAAAAGCTGTGTGCTCGATTCAGCTATTACATGCATCAATCAGCCATACATTTTAGGACTGCAGATGGCTAGACTTATAATAAATGAAAAATTCACACATCTTTATATGAATACATGACAGTTTTGTATCCTTGACTGATTCCATAGGCATGAGGGATAGATAACATGAATCAATTTTACACTCAAATTAGCTCCGTTCTAGTGATGTGCTAGTGCTTGTTGTAACTTGTTATTTAAGGCAGTAAAGCATTTGATTTCTTGATATAAGTTAAAAGGTACGTTTTACAAGAAATGCTTTTATTTTGAAGTGCAAGTATGTCTCTTCCTCTAACTGCTTCCTGTTGTTATCAAAATTGAATACGAGCATGTCGAGTGCAGTTCTTTTTGGAAACTGTTTAAGGAATATAAAGTAAAGGTTCAGTTTGAAATAGACTGTGCTTGGTTCTTCATTCGAAGGTTCTATTACACAACAGTGCTAGCTTGGTTCGCAATTGTCACAGTCTGCTTCATCATTCACCAGTAGTTTTCCATTCACCTGTCTCACCTGTTAACGACACCTACGTTTTTGCTCACTCTCTTTCTCTACTGCACCCATTAGTTTCACTGCCAGTATTTAAACCCTCACCAGACACACACCCGTTGCCAGATCGTACTTTGCCTTATGCTAGTCTTTCACACGTTCGTTATCAGATTGCCTACCCGGTTCCGACCCTGCCTGTCCCCGACCTGCCTGCTCTGCCTGATCCCTGATCCTGCCTGTCCTCAGGATAGTCCAAGGACAGGCAGGATCAGGGATCAGGCAGAGCAGGCAGGTCGGGGACAGGCAGGGTCGGAACCGGGTAGGCAATCTGATAACGAACGTGTGAAAGACTAGCNCAGATTGGTCCATTTCAGAATAATATATATATGATATGTTTTATAATGATTGATCATGAAAGTGTTCTCAAAGCTAGTTTGAATGACTTTGTATACTGCAGGGTAGCTTGTAGATTTACTCCAGGTGGAACTAAAGTCTGATTCAACACTTGGTTAGATTTCACATCATTAATCCAGATCTGTAAAGTAACTAAAGGTATTAAATACATGTAGTGGAGTAAAAGTACACCATTTACCTCTGAATTGTAGTGGAGTAGAAGTACAAAGTATGTAAACATTGAAATACTCAAGTAAAGTACCTCCAAATTGAGTAAATGTACTTAGTTACTTTACATCACAGTTCACATCACAGTTTTCCTTGTTTTCAGTGTCGGAGAACAACTTCTATGTCTACGTTGTAAGAGTTGGTGAGGTCCTGATCATTTATTCCGGGAAATTACTCTGACCTACTAATTGACCTAACCGAAGTTATTGAGTCGATGTAAGTTTACTGCTTAGCTCAGATCCACCAACGTCAGCAAGATCTCACCTCTATTAACTCCTGAAGAACCAGGTTCAATTAACTGCTGTTTCAATTCAGACAACTCTCTTAAATCTGTTTAAGCGATCCCGAAGGGTTTTGATATCAGTAAATGAGGTGTGGCCCTACCTAAGTGTGGTGTGGCAGGGTGCAATATTACCTTTGAAGCAGGAGAGGAGAGCGCAGATGTCTTTTAAGTTGTCCCAGTCCAAAAGGTGGGATCAGTTTATTTGAAGAAAAATAGGTCCAAACTAATACAGGGTTTTTACCTTCTCTCTTTACAACATTATAATCATACTAAACATATCATGCTGGGGTTATTTTCTAATCTAAAACCTTAATTCATAGTTCACCCATTAAAGTCTTCCGACAAAATCCAAAAGGAATTTCTTTGTGGTGGCGAAGGTTCTCTAATTATAGTCCTAAAATCCCGACACATTTAAGAATGGTAGGTTTAAAAATCCCAACACATTTAAGAATGGTAAGTTTTAAAAATCCTGTTTCAAAACTTTCATCCAATCCATTCCCTCAGCATTCAATACACAGAGATTTAAGCAATAGTTATCAAGTTTGAGAAAACCTTACCGAGAGCAAAAACCCAGCTCTGCAGGGAGAGAGCTTTACCGGGAGAGAGCATACCAGGGGAACCCCCCCTCTCTCTCTCGTTTGCTCCCTCTCCGCCAGTGTCTTTATGCTCAACAACAGGATAGAAAAACCTAAAGACACCTCCTCCATACCTGTCACAATCTTATGAAGGACCCAAATGCAGCACTCGAGAAACCACGGAGTATTGTTAATGTACTTTATTGGTAATAATACCAGAGCAGAGGGATACCGGATGATGTACAGGCAAACGAACCAGAGGACAGCGGGCAGAAGGTGAGTCAGGGCCGGGCAGAGGATCAGGGAGCAGGCGAGGCGGTCAGCGTAGGTACAGGCAGGGTCCGACAGCAGGCAAGGCAGGATAGGCCAAGGACAGGCAGGATCAGGGATCAGGCAGAGCAGGGACAGGCAGGGTCGGAACCGGGTAGGCAATCTGATGACAAACGCGTGAAAGACTAGCATAAGGCAAAGTACGATCTGGCAACGGGTTTCACGCGTTTGTCATCAGATTGCCTACCCGGTTCCGACCCTGCCTGTCCCTGCTCTGCCTGATNGCAGTGGAGACGCTGCGGACAGCTGATCGACAGCTGGGCCACAAACCACCAAAAACGAAAACATAATTCCGATCCAGTCGTCATGACTCCACTCCGGAGGGATTCCCCGATCATTTCTTACAGTTTCTCATCAAGGGGGTGTCTCCTGTCCCCGGTACAAACACACTGCCTGAGGAAGGCTATCAATGCTATGTGTATTTTTTTTGTCATTAACCTTTTTCGGACCACTTATTTATTATTTTGGTGACGATCCGACCTCCATGCTGCTACTCTGGTTCAAACTGCATCCACCAAACAATATGATTTATCTCGACCTCCCCAAAATAACCAAAATCTGACACGGTGTGAGGTGTCTTTTTTAGCTGTTCTGTCGTCATTTCCTGCTGATCTTCTTCATAAAGTCAGTCAAAATTAATGAATGAATGGGCGTTTCTTTGAGTATTTATAGGCAAATATGGGCGTTACGTGAAGCCCGCAAAAGCTGCACCGCATTTCGAGTCGGTTGTGATTTATAAAGCAAGACCGGCGTAGGAAGTGCCATACGCACTTTCCTCGCCGGTACGCAATGTTCGGTGAATCGGAAAACGTTGGAAAATTGATGTACCTATTTTTCTGATTTCTACTACGTAAGCAACTTTTCCACGTGAATCCTACGCACGGCGTTATACATGAGGCCCCAGAGCACGGTGCAGAGTCTCTAGATGAGTTTACAGTAGTCCCTCGTTCTTATTAAACATCCATGTTGTAGTCCGCTGTATAGAGATCTGTAGTTTCCATAGTTTCCCCACAGCAGCAGACGCACATTCATGACGTCCGCTGGCGCATCATAAAGACGTCGGATAGTGAAAGTGCAGTCGGATTCTCTAAAGTACCGCAGTCTCTTCTCCTTAGTCCTTTTGAATTCTCCTATCCACTATCCCTTAACCCCGTGACGTTTCACTCTGAGGTCAAGGAATAGACGATAGGGTTATAACTTAGGAGCTGATTTTTGGACTATTCGACTGCAGCCCAGGTGCACCTGCGCAGCAGGGCGACAGAAAATAAAACAAGGAGGGGAGCACGTAACACATGTCTACACAGACATCCACTCGAAGTCAACAATTTTCTGTAGAATTTGCTGACATGGGGGTTTAAAATGCCATGCCTCTTTTTGGCTTTCGAGCCCATCTCAGGGTTAATGCACAGGAAGGACCTGAAAACAATAAGCCAAGACAGCAATTTCTATTTTACATAGATTTTCAATTTAAGTAAAACCTGCACCAAAGAAATAAATCAGTATTTAAAGCCAAGCAAGAGCGATAAAAGCAAGAAAATAACTTAATTTGTTGTGTTATCACAGAGGATGGTCTGAATACAGCATTTTACTGTGAAATACTGGTAATCATTTATCCTGTACATTCACAGTAATTAACTGTGCCTGCATTGATTTCACTGTGAAATTCAAAATTACAGTATTATATTGTGAACATTACAGGTAAAGACTTTAAAGTGGTAAAACAGTAATTTATTGTAAAATATTACAGCTAAATATTGTGAAATCATGGTAATATTTTACAGTGTATAGTGAACCCCCTCCTACTACTTATATGTTGTTTCAGTTACTTCTTGCAATAATTTGTTTCCTTCATTTCAATAATAGCTATTTTAACAAAGGAAAGGAAAGGAAGGCTTGTAATTTTGAAACCAAAATAGCATTTCAATGTTGAATTGTCACTCTGGTAGGACCATTGTATGCTTTTTAGCACGACCCTAATGCAGAGTAACATCCATTTGTACATATAAAGAAGATTTTGTACAACCTTAAAGCATTCCAGATTATTAAAATGTTCAGAGTAGCCCTCTCAGACTGCACCGAATCAAGCTTTTGAACAGAACTATACATATTTTATAATGTATGTGCCTATTAGCATTCACTCAAGCAATCTGTCTGCTACAAACTCTCTAAATTCTCTGCTCTTTTGCCAGTTTATAGTCTGAATATAACACAATTAGGAAATATTACTTCCCATAACTAGAACCACAGATGCTTTTCAGGGGATTTATTTTCCTCTATGTGTCTTCTGAGTACAATATAATTTTTATTAAAGGGATGTAATTTCCCAAAACACCCTAACAGCGATTTATTTGGCGGTTTTACCCAGATCCAAAAGATAAGCACATATTAATCTAAGGTTAGGAACCTGTCTGGCCTGGACATATGTTTTACATTTTGTTAAATGTAATGGCAACCAGATTGAGCCAAGATTAGTAAATCATACTGAAACACACAACAGCATTTTTTAAAAAGGTGGTACAGCTATTGCCATGGATCCCACATCCCATCTGGGTGAGACAGCCATTCATCTTGTTTGGCTTACAGTTGTTAGGGAAGCACTGTCAGGGCACAGACAATTTACAAATGTGCATTGTGGCTGTGTGTGACCTCAGCGGGCCTTTGTACTAAGAGGTTGTTATCTCTGCTATTTTTTTAAGCAGTAAACACAGAGGAGTGATAATAAAGATGGATGGTGGCTGATTAGACCTCGAAGAATGCACATAGTGAATATCGAATGGAGTTTTAGCTTTATTACCATCCCCAATCTTAACATTAAGGCGAAATACCTCCAAAATAACGGCCTTCTCGTCAGCCTCAGCTTTATTCTTTGTGTGGTGCTAGCATCAGCATGCTAATAACCCGTGTTCAACTCTGACGCAGCACACTGTTGTTGTGAGTGATATTCACTCTGGCATGAAAAAGCAGCAACATACAGTATATGGTGTTGTCATGACGTTGCTCCTACAATGCTCTGGTTGGTCGAACACAAACTAGTTCATTGTGTTTCCAAAGCAGGGGAAACGACAATTGGTTCAACTCTGGCCCCAACAATCTTCTCGCTCAGCACCAATAACCAAGACCCACGAATGTCGGAGGCTTATGACTTAGACTGTGGTGAAATTGCCCTGAGAAATAAGATGAGAGAAGAAAGTTGTTGCTAAGCAGTATCGTCAAGAACACATACTGCCTATAACGAAGAAAAAGAGCAGCATGAGCACAGCTCCGACTCAGTTCGTTGTTGTTGTTGTTGTTGTTGTTGTTAATGTTGTTATTGTTGATCATGCAGTGTTGCTGAGAAAAGCCTCTACGTAAACATTAACGTTATGACATGGCTCCTACAGGGCTCTGGTCAGTGGAGAAGCAAACTAGTCCTTAAGTGGTTTGCCATTTTGAACCAATTGCTGTCACAATCTTATGAAGGACCCAAATGCAGCACTCGAGAAACCACGGAGTATTGGTAATGTACTTTATCTGTAATAATAACAGAGCAGAGGGATACCGGATGATGTACAGGCAAACGAACCGGAGGACAGCGGGCAGAAGGTGAGTCAGGGCTGGGC